TAAATTGAACAAATTTTTTCAATTGTTATTGATTCACAAGGCGCACGTGATTAATACGTTGAACACCGAAAAGTGGTAGCCTTATTTGGCGGTTACACAATTATTCGTATTCTTACTATGATAGTTTAAAATTTGAACGGACATTTTTAACCATAAATGTCATTTTGGCTTATTACGTGACTCTTCTTTTTAAAATATGAGTTTATAGTGAAGAGAAAGCGGAAAATCGATTATTTAATCTAATCTGGCGTAATTGATTAATTGATTAAAATGAGACTACTATCCGAAAGGCGTGTGTAACTGATGTAACTGACAAACTTTTCGGTGGCGTTGCTACGTTCATCTTTTTTTCTTGATTTTTGACATGACTCATATCTTTTTTTGCCATTTTTCTGTATTTCCGCCCGTCTTTACCACTTCAACAAACTGCTTTTCTATAAAATAAGAGAAAAGCGTCAAATGACGAGTCTAATAATAATGTATTACTTTTGAATCGTGGGAAAATCGGATGACCATGATCAATAAAAAATCGAATAAATCTTGAAATATAAAAATAATTTTATTATTATTTTTTTTTTATTTCTTTATTTTATTTTAGAATTGTATTTTCGCGAGTTACTATATTTGCAAGTTACTAACCATAATTGTCATACGGAAGGATTAAAGATTTCAGTTTAATTATATTTAATTATTAATTACATATATACTGTACTTCATTATAATATATATATAAAGAATTTATATAAAATTTCTAGTACATTTATTGTATTTATTTTAGCTACATATTTGCAAATATGAGCGAAATTTCATTAACATTTCTTTATATCATAAAAAATTTCAGTTTAATGTGTTATAAGTTTAAATGATGTATAAGGAAGGTTTTATCACAATTTAAAATACATTTATATAATAGAAACTAGTAAATTTCAAACGACATATATACTTCATGGAAATTGGACAAGTTTACAACAAATTTCCGTAATATACATTTTAATTGGAATTAATTGAAATTACTGGTAAATCAATTTGAAATGTGACGTGTATATAAAATTTCTCTAGTGTAAATGTATTACACATCCCCCACTTCGACCAGTGATATAGGACACGGCGATTATTTAAAATGCATTTTTACCTAAGTGGGACTTTAGGTCTCACCTTTTTCTATTCACTATACGTCTCCATATCCCATGAAAAATATACTTAATACAATGTATAATATTTTCAGCTTGAATTCTTTATTGATGCAGTAAATAAATTACATGATTCGATGATACATAGACTTGTTTTACAATGTGAAATGGTGGGCGTTTCTATACTAATGCCTACAGACCCACACCATCATTCAAACTATCTATACTAACATAATATCCCAACATTAATCCGATTTCATTTGACCTCAACATTGATATTCTGGATAGAACAAAAATGGTCGTCAGTTATGCAGAGCCAGAAATAAATTAACTGTATTGACCTTAGTAGAACTTACCGAAAGTTTATGTTCCCCTAACAAAAAAAAATAGATATTAGCTTTGTAAGCTCTAAGTCACTTCCTTGTAAATATACAGTCATAACATACAGTATCTTTGTTTGCGTAATGTCTTCCCAGATTGGCACTCTCATGTGACATCATGATATGTGGCTGATTTTTGATTGATAATTGGTTCTTGACACATTGCTGACTCTGTTCGTAGTATTACTGACTCACAGTTCGTAGTAATTAGTCAACAACCGTTTATAGAAAAATATATATATATATGACATATAATCAAAATGTTAAGCTATTCTTTGCTATCTTATAAACTAAATTTGAGGAAAAAACCCTACCCGCTAGGTAACATTTTATCCAAAATGTTTTATTTGTGTTATTACTTTTTTAAACTTTGTTTCTAACTCTCGATTTTCATGTTTGCAGATATACCGACATCATGGTATTTTGTCTCATTCAAGGTGATGCTATTAAAAACTCTTTTCCGATTGATACTAGTAGTCACACGACCATTGGGCATCTCAAAAAAGCTATAAAGGATGAGAAACAAAATGCCTTTAGTGGCATTAATACAGACAAACTGACATTATGGAAAGTCGATATTGTACAAACCAAGAAAAATCAAGAAATGACAATAAAAGAACACAAAGGAGTAGAGTTGCATTCATTTGAATCTATTGGAACTCATTTTCAAGAAGTACCCCTTAGCACTAACATCCGTATCATCATCCAACCGCTTCTGCCCGCCACTACTGCTGGTAAGTATCTCCCAATGGTTTGCCTCTCGAACAAGAAATTAGCTTTTGAGGAAAATGTTTTCACTGTTATTATTATATATTGACCACCTTTGTATCTGTTTGATTTGTACCAGACCAATGCACTCGTGACACTGCAAATCTTGGTTATGTACCCCGACGAGAAGGTATGTATAAACTGGCATTTTTTTAATAGCAGTATTCTATTCTAACTATCAGTCTTTTTTTAGGTAATCTTGGTGGAACGTTGCTATGTCCTGACCAATTAACAAGCAATTCCAATGAGGGTATTTCCCTCACTGACAATGATACCAGCAAAAGACCTTTAGTCGTTAAATCTTTGATTGATGACCTCTTAATTAAGAAGATTATACTTGTTCGAGCTCCTCCCTATTCGGGAAAAACATCATTAACTCAACTTATTGAAGATTACCTCATTAACTCAGCAGAATATTTAACTTTTAGGATAATTAGGTTTTCAACGCTCTGGGGAAATGATGTAGGAAAATTATGCAATTATGAAAATTTTGGAGAGGCATGGAAAGAAATCCTTGGTATAGATTGGGTTAAATGGAGAGAAGAGTGCAAAAAAATTCGGTCAATTCTGATAATCGATGAGATTCAAAAGATATATCAACATAGTTATCAGCTTGGTGAATCAGAGCCGATGGATATAGATGTAGATAATAAGAGTGTAACTGCGGGTCAATTTTGGGAAACTGTTAAATGTGGCCTTCAAGGGTCACATGATATTTATATTATTATGTTTGGAGCCTATGGTTATGGTTCTAATCTCAGAGATCTTTCGATCCCTGTTGAAATACCTGATTTTAACAGCAAAAGTATTTATGACATTAAATTTACTGATAATGAACTGGAGGAATATGTTACAAATTTCTGCAGATATTTCAATTTAAAAGAGCATAATGAAAATATCATTCCAGAATTTATCAAATATATTAAAAATGCAACAGCAGGACATGTAGGTTTTGTCCGTCACATATTATATTATACGAGAGAAAAAATGAAGCTGAAAGTAAATGAACTGACTTGGAATAAAATATTGGTGTATCTGAATTCGAATGGATTTAATGAGACTATAAATAATTGCCGTGGTTTACCTAAGATCAAAAGCTTTTCTCATGATGAAATAAAGCTATGTGAAAATGTTTTATTAAATAAGAAGCACCCCTACCAGTCTAGTAATAATCATAGTGTTTTGGCTTTAATCAAATCGGGTGTCCTTGTTATTGATAAGAATTATATGCTACAATTCTCAGCACCAATTGTGATGCGGTCATTTATCTATCAAAATTATGGGAATGAAAAAATTTCTGAAACCGTTCCTAAATCATTATATGATTTTATTGTTAGTATTTTCACTGCAATGTGCTTAGAAAGTAGAGAATTATTACAAAGAACACTCTCCTTCGGGTTTGAAGAAAGAGAGGAAACCATAATTTTAGAACAAATGTGGCAAAAGGAGTTCTACAGAATTGGAAAACGACTGCTAAATGGATACTTTATGTCTTGTGATGTGGGTGCAACTTTTGCGTCTAATGGATATTTAGACTTTTATGTGGATGAGCCATTGAATTGGGCCATCAAAATTTTAAGAGAAGAAAGGTGTATGGCCAAACATACCAAAAAGTTTGACGAAACCACAGAAATATATAAAGAAATTACTTTGTACGCTAAAAGCATAGCTATTGTTGACATTTGTAGTGAATCAATTAAGGTTCAGAAATTGAAGGAAAATTTTGTTCATGTCTCTTATTCCAAGAATTACGATGCATTTAAAATAGAGTGTTTGGGAAGAGATACCATGAATATTAACTTTTAATATTAGTTTTAATATAACCTTTTAATAAGACTATTATTTTTTTTGCGCAATAATTAATGTAACATCTTTCTTCTATTTCAACTTGATAAATAAAAATGATCTTTATTATTATTACTTTATTATTTTTAAGTAAAATAGATTAAAAATAATATATATGGCATGCTTCTAAGGTAGATCCTAGGCCAATAATGCAAGTCCTTGCATCATATTATTTCTCTGCTCTTTTCATATTGCTAGCCACGACCCTTTCTACAAACACGAAATAAACATTGTTCAGTTTTTAATCAACCCCGTTCTGAACATTTACTTGACATTTATTGAACATTCATCATGATATTTGTACGTTTTTTATGTGGTTAAAAATTCTCAATCTCTGCATCTTGTATTAAATTGTAACAAATATTGTATAATAGTGTGTGAGTGTCCGGAAAATTGACCCCATTCCAAATATTTATCAGATAAACATTGTTTATAGGGTATAATTAAAATAAATTTTGTTTGAACATTTATTATAGCTTAATAAAGTATAAATGATTATAAACTACCCAAGAACACCACCAAAAAATTTTCACTTTGTACTAATTTGAAATAGTAAGATATATCAATGAAAAGTAATATTTTTCACAGTTCTTACTTCTCACCGCAACTGTTTGTATTTGTGTGTTTTTTTCTAGTAATTTCATCTTGAAATATATATTATTCTTTTTTATTATAGTTTATTCTATTCTACTATTTTCTTATTGTATTTTATTTTGTTCGAAAATAAAATGCGTTTTTTATATTAAATACAAGTGTTGCATAATAATTATTGTTTACTTATATTACTTATATTTTTGGTTTAAAAAAATTTACTATTATTTCTTTTCATTTTATACATTCAACCAGAAAAGCGATTTATTTAAATAGTTTATTTATTTTATACTTTTAAAGCTATATATTTACTTATAAATTTTTGAAATAATAAATACTGTAAATAATTAATAATAAAATTATTATAAATTGTTGATTTCTTTTTTAAGACTTTTTAAATTATTTTTTGCTAACTCATATCCCTGTTTAGCAGATTTTTCATACCAATAAATTGCTTTATCTATATTTTTTGTAACTACATCTCCTTTTTCATACATTAAAGCAAGATTATTTTGTGCTACTTCATGTTTTAAATATGCAGCATCTTGATATAATTCAAATGCTTTATACTTATCAATTTTAGTTCCAATACCATTATTATAACAATATCCTAACATCATTATTCCACCTGAATATCCTCCTTCAGCTGATTTCTTAAATAATTCAAAAGCTTTATTAGAATCTTTTTTAACAACAATTTCATTTTTATAAAATCTACCAAGATTAAATATAGCAATTATATTTCCATCATTTGCAGATTTTTCATACCAATAAAATGCTTTCTTTAAATTTTTTCCAACACCTATACCTTTTTCATAACAATAACCAACTTCTAATTGCCCACTTGATAAATTTTCATTAGCCACTTTTTTATAATATTCAAAAGCTAATTTTTCATTTTTCATAGTTCCATATCCAAAAACAAAACAATGACCAATATAATATTGTACTAATATATGCCTTTTTCCTAATGCTTTAATAAACAATTTAAATGCTTTATCATCATTTTCATTTGTTGCAATTCCATAATAATTAAAATATCCAAGAATAAAAATAGAATTTGAACTATTTTGATTATTTAATAACCAATTATAAATTTCTTGTAAATTTATATTATGATTATTAAAATATTCAAGAACTTTCCGTTTCACTGAATTTATTTTAAGTCCTTTATTCATTAATTTAAAAATCAAATCATTTATTTCATCAACTATAATGTTAACATCATCTTCAATTAGAAAATTTTCTTGTTTACTTAATATTATCATAGGATCAATTTCTTTTATAATTATTTTATCAAAATTTTGAATAATTTTTTGAGATAAATCCTCTTGTAATTCTAAATTATTAATACTTAAAGAATCCTCATTAATTTCTTGTTCATTTGAAATTTGATGACTTTTTACTATTACATCTGTTTTTGCAATTATTGCATTTAGCCAATCAACTACTTGATATATTGTTGGGCGATTATCTGGTTCTCCATCCCAACATCCTAAAAATAAATCATAATTTAGAATTAATAATGTTTAAATTGCAAAATTTAAAATCTAAAATATTACTTACTAGTATAAATTTTAACATATTCATCAGGTGTATCAGGAACAGTAGTTTCTCTAAGACCTTGTGAAATTTCCAAAGTTAAACCAATATCATATTGTTCATCTTCAACATAAAAAGGAGGTTTCCCACTAGATAGTTCCCATAATAGTACGCCAATACTATAAATATCACTTTTTTCATTTAATGAGTACATTTGTGTTGATTGGTTATCGCTTCTTTGTCCACTAAAGCTTTTTGGATCGACATATGGAACCATCCCGAATAATTTAGATTGAAAATTGGAAGATGCTCCAATTCTTTTGGATAATCCAAAATCTGCTAATTTGATTGTGTTATTATGTACTAGTATATTGCGGGAGTGCTATTAAATAAATATATATTTATATTCAAATGAGTAATACAGGTATAATATTATTAATAATCAAATAATGTTAAATAAGTTACCAAATCATGATGCACTATTCTTTTACTATGTAAGCATGATAAAGCACAAGATAACTGGTATGCCATATTATATTTGTCATCCCAAGTAAGCTTGCTAAAGTTTTTCTTCAAATAACTTCGAAGACTACCACCGTTGGCATATTCCATCACTAACCAATAATTATTTTCATTTTCTAATGATATGGTATTAAAAATAAAATAATCATTAAAATGAATTTTGTGATTATAAGAATATTATGTTTATTAAGATAACTTCGATAATACCTGACTCAAGTTTTGTTATTCCATAGCAACGAATAACGTTATCATGAAAATCAACTTCTCGTTGAATTTTTAACTAAATAAAATTTTTAAAATAAGTTTATTAGACAAAATCATAAACGAAAAAAGAAATTATTTTATATAAAATTACCTCACGAATGATTTCTTTTATGGTGACATTATTAAGACTAAAAAAAGATTTTAATGCAAATTGCTTTTCTGAATTTTTCCAACTGGCACGATATACGTTTCCGAAACTTCCGGTACCAATTTGTTGAATATTATTAAATTGATTGTATTCATAAAATTTACAATATTCTTTATCGACAGCTTCCTCAATCCAATTAACCCATTCATTTTCATACTCAATATCTTGCATTTTGATATATCGAATGTATTGAATAATGATAAGTTTAACAGTAAGGTTAAAAAAAAATGTAAAGTAAAATTATTAAAATTTTATTGTGCATGCCTATTTTATAAATTTTTTTCGCCGATGATGGTCGTACAAGCGTACTGCGTGATTTAGTGTTACCTGCTACCGACATCCAATCAGCCACTATGTTACCGCAGCACGCAGTAATTTTCATTACACTTTATATTAATATCGTAATGTAAAGAATTTTTATTTTTCATTAAATGTATTGTAAACCACACAATTATTTCAGGGTTTCATTGAAAGATATATAATACACTTATACTAGTAACTTTGATTTATTTTAATACGATCGGCAGCCAACAAATCTTTTAGTGGTGCAAGTGATGCAATGATTTTTAGTCATGCGATCTGCCGCAGTAATCCGAACAAAATATATATTTTGTGTTTAGACGAAATTTTTTTTTTAAATAATATTTTTTTTTCGGTTCTTTTTAGATTTAATATTATTTATTTATTTATTGTTTTTTGGTTTTAAGCCAAATTTTTTTTTTATATTATTTCTTTTTGATCCTTTTTTTAGGGCCAGACTATGTTTTTTTAAAAAAAATAATATTTTTTTTTTTTCAGTCTTTGTGTTTAAATCGAATTTTTTTTCTATTACGTCAAATTTAAATTAATAAACAATCTTGATAAAATGTTTGAACAATTAAACGTTTTTAAAATCTGTTCATGATATTATTGTTTATTGTTCTTTCTTGAATAGTAATTTTATTCAACAAATTATTAATTTAACTAAACCATTTAAATTAATTAATTTTAATAATTGTTGATTTAATGATATATCATGATTAAAACCAGATTTTGTAATGATTATTGCAATGATTCAATTTGTGATGTTTCATTTAAAATTAAAGCCACAATTATCTTTCAATCAATATCGATATATGAAAGACAAATATTTAACAATTAGTATTTCAATCATATTGGACAAATTCTAACTTTTAAATTAGATAAATTTTAACATTAAAGAAAGTGATTAGAGTATTCTTAGAAAATTCTCAAGATATTTTTATTAATAAATTGTTAATAAACCATAAAGAGGTGATGATGATATTTACATTACATGAAGGAATATATTATGAATGAAAAATGGGTTTATTCCATTTAGTTTTGAAAAAATTACTCTTTTTGAAAATATTAAAAGAATATTTTACTAGCTATAAAAAGCCAAAATTCATGTGTAAGATGAAGTGACATAATATTAGCATTGGTTACTGACTTTATAGATAATATTGGTTAGTTAAAGAATATTTGATTAGTAATAAAGATGAACTATCAATATATAATATTTACAAGATATTTACGAAGGGTGATTAATTCTGTGACTAATTATTGAAACATATTACACACTATTAATCAACATGAATTGCGACAATATCGGAATCATATATAATTTACCCATCTTTGATACTTCCCATATACTGTTTGATACTTCACTTTCAACATATACAACATGTCGGATTCAAATACATTTTTAGGAGATTTACCTGAATTATCTTATGAAATCATAAATTATTTAAAGAATGATTTTTCAACTTTATACTCATGCATTTTAGTTAATAGATTATGGTGTCGTCTAGCGATTCCATTATTATGGAAAAATCCATTTTCGAATCCTACCCGGAATTATAGTTTTATCGAAATTTACTTGAATAATTTAAATGATGATTTTAAAACGAAATTAAATGAATATGAAATTATTAATATTTCATTATTTTCAAAGAATATAATGTTTAATTATCTAAAGTTTTTAAGATATTTGAACATAGAGAAATTTATATCCTCTGTTGAGCAGTGGTTGGCTGATGTTGCTTCTATTAATACAAAATCCTTATATAATTCCGAACAAGATTTTAAAGATTTTAGGAGTTTGGTTCTTATGTCACTATTTAAAATTTTTATTGAAAATGAGGTAAATTTGGATACTCTTGAAATTAAGACCTCAAGTACTAATTATAATAGTGATATTCTTGAGTTAATTTTAAAAAATCAAAATTTCATTCACAATGTTAAAAATTTGAAACTTCATATCGATGATAATAATGACTGTAAGATAATTTATAATCGTATAACACAAATAATTCATTTACATCAAAATCTTAAGAAAATTTTAATAGTAGGTGCTAATAATTATACATCTTTATATCTATCATTGTTATTATCAAAAGATTATAATTGTTCAAATACCTTAAATACAATCATTTTCTATTGCGTCATATTTAAATCAATAAACAATCTTGATAAAGTATTAGAACAATTAAATGTTTTAGAATCCGTTCATATTTTTTATTGTTCTTTCTTGGATAGTAACTTTACTCAACAAATTATTAATTTAACTAAACCATTTAAATTAAAATCTTTATTTCATATATATGAAACACCACAAATTGAAACAGTACAACAATTATTACAAAAATCTGGTGATTATTTAGAAAATTTCGGTTTTATCTATAACGCATCATTAAATCAACAATTATTAAAATATTGTAAGAATATCAAATTTTTTTATTTTCTTATAAATGAAAGTTCGTTTACTTATCAATTAATCAATTTAATTGAAAATATTAAACAAAGTCTTAGTTGTCTTTCAATTATATTGAGAAATAATCATTCAACAAATTGTAGTTCATTCATATTACAAAATCTTGGACAAATTCTTCCTTCTAAATTAGATTACTTAAGTTTGGACCTTAATATTAAAAAAAATGATTTTAGAGTATTCTTAGAAAATTCTCAATATATTCTTATTAATAAATTAATAATAGCACAAAGTGGTAGTGATGATATTTTACATTACATAAAGGAACATATTATGAAGGAAAAAAGAGTCAAGTATTTGGCTATTAAGAATTTTAGAACTAGTAAAGAATTGTTTAATTTAAAAGATGAAGTGAAGGAATTTGATATACATAATATTAAGGTTCGAAGTTATGATGATTTAGTTATTAGCGTTCATAGCCTTGTAAATAATATTTAGTCGGCATTAAAATTTTGCCAGAATTATGAATTGAAATTGGATTGGATATATCCATTATGTCCTAAGTCAAATAGTCCATTTTTGGAAATTGGACAATGAATATTACCGTTATTAAATTCAAAATGGTACAATTTTTGTACTTTTATATATTTATGTTTTATTATGACAATTTTAAACAATTACTCGTGATAAATAAAAAAAAAATATATTAAACAAAAAAATTATCCATATAAAAATTTAAATAGAATAAAAGCTACATGTGGCGCTAACAGGTTCAATTGTTTAATTGTTTTCCAATAACTTATAGTACTAATTCATTACATACGTACAATGAACACAACAAGTATGTTTTCTGCTTTTAGTCGAAAAGGTTTTATGAGTTAACTATTTTATCATTTTTTATTTGGGTTAATTTTCCCTCCCTTTTTCTTTATTAATTGTTTTTGAACTTCTAATAGCTTACGTTTCAAAGGTATCGTACCTGAATGGAACGGTTCACGAAATTTTAAGACTAGAAATTTGTTAAGTTTTGTATATAATCAAAACAAGTATAAGTTAAAAGAAAAAAGAAAAAAAAGAGCATCTTCCCATTAAAATAAGTTCATTTCAAAGTACTGTATGAATATAAATAAATTATGCGAAAATATTTGATTTTACGCCAACAGTTGCTTTAATTCAAATACCACTTATAAAATGGTTAATATTCAAATGAATAAATAGATACGTTAACATCATATTCTGCCATTACTTGCTTTTAAAACTTAAATACTATTTTTTTCTCATTGCGGCGGATTTATCCTGCTGCGCCCTTGGAATTAAAATTGACTTTTTTTCCCTAAAAAATGTCAAATAATGACACTCCTTTCACCCTGCCCTATAAAAAAATCGGGATACGTTTTTTATAAAGTTTTTATACGATTTTTTTTCCTTAGAAATAACGTATCATAATAGGATACGGAAAAATGCACAATTCCGTATCACTAAAAATATGGTTTGGATACGGAATTTGCACGGAATTCATATGGAATTTACATGATTTGATCACTGATTTTATCACGAAATTTATACGATTTGGTCACTGAATTTACTATTTGTATTACAGTTTACTATAATATATTTATATAAATCTAATTTTACTTTATTAAATTAAATAAAAAATAAAAAATAAACAAAATACAAATACATTATGAAAATTCCCTCCTTATTAAAACCACCTATTGCAACCAAAATTACCTATAAGTT